GACAGCGGCGGTGATACCCCTCACTCCATATCTTCATCTGTTAAACTTTGAATAAAACAAAACAAAATCAACTGCCACTGAGTCAATTCTGACTCATTGTTATCCTGTATAGTGTTTCTAAGACTGTACTTTTTATCTGGAAGCACACAGCCTCTTTTTTTCTCCATGTGGGTTTGAACAGCCAACCTTGTGGTGAAGTGAGCAACACCAACCCCACAGCATCACCAAGACTACTTGTCAAACCCTTAGATAAACATACATATATTATGATACATTCCTCCTACAATTGTCAAGTCCTTAAGACAGAAGGCATTTTATCTGTTACTAAAAAATAATGAAAAAAGCATTCATAATTTTCAATTCAAGACCCCCAAAGGTCTTGGTACAAGACTCTTATTAGAAATCCGCTTAGCAGCCCTCAGTCATGATTTAAGATAATCAATCCAAAGAGCCTGCGTTCATGTTTCCTAATGATTCCACTACTATTAACAGAGACGCAGTGCGCCTGAGCTCCTCCCGCCTTGCCATTCCTGATAAACTCTAACCAACTTTTATCTCTATGAATTTGCCTGGTTTCTATGTTTCACAAAAGGATCATGTGATACAATATTTATCCTTTGGTGGCTGACTTATTTCACGGAGAAAGATGGTTTCAAGGTTCATCTATGATGTAGCATGTAAGACTACATCTTTTTACAACTATTATTTCTTTGTGTGGATAGACCAACTTTTTTTTTTAATCTATCTGTTGATACATTTTTAGGTTGTTTTCACCTTTTGGTTAATATAAATAGCACGATAACAAACATTGGTTTACAAGTGGTGCGTCACTTTAAAAAATTATGCTTTAGGCCAATGGATAGGGATTTTATTATATTCTCATTCTTAGAACGTGAGTCCTTAGACTCAAAACCAAACTTACTGCCATCCAGTTGATTCTGACTCACAATGGTCTACCATTTGGGCTAATAATTGCAAGACGAGTAGTTTGAAGCTACCAGCTACTCTGCAGGAGAAAGACTTGGAGGCTTCTACTCCTGTAAAGATTTGGTATTGGAAACCCACAGGGGCAGTTCTACTCTGTCCTATAGGGTAATGGTGCTAAGTGAGTCCTACCCCCTCTCTTATTTTATTTTCCCTGAACCTTGTCTTCTATCCTTCTATGATATTCATTTTTATTTGTTTTATGATGGCCATAAATACGCTTGAATCTGATCACAGGAATTGTATTGGAGCTGAAAGCCCCAAATCCATCCGCAGAGTCCCAAAGTGGATTAAGCTTCCGTAGACCAGGGATGTGAACAGTGTTGCCCTCAGTGTGCATTGGAAAGTAGATTTCTTCCACCTCACTGACCAGGGCTGGGAGGGGCAGTCTCCCCCAGCCATGCCCTGACTGCTTCGGTAAAGCCCTTGGACCAATACTGTATGCTCCCCTGCCTTACATAATGCATATGCCCCAATCAGGGCCCCCATTCTGTTCTAGGAGTCCCACTGGTAACGATATTTACCATGTTTATGTGACAGTGTTCTTTGACCCCTCATCTCCTTTTCAAAGTTACGTATCCAGCAAATCCTTATGACCTTGTGCAATTGGTCTCCTCCATGTAGATGCTATGCCTCTGTCATTGCCTTGTCCTTGTTCCATTTATCACTTAAAACATGTCCTCTTTACAAATAAAAGAAAGTATAGGACACTTGGTGCATTGAAAGGCAGACACGATGTCCCTGTGTTACCCTGACAAGTCATCATACCAAAAATAAAAAGTTTGTGGAAAAATTTCATTGTTTTAAGTCTAATTCCATAACCTTTTTAAAGCCCTCTCATATGTATACAGCGTTTTAATTCAGTAAATACACTGCAAGAGGATAAAGTAAAAGGAATGGAGTGAAGAAAGTTAAGATGTTCTAGAAAGCGTAAACAGGGAATGCAGATTGGGGACCCAAAGCCCATCTGTAGGGATCTGGACATCCCCTTACAGAAGGGTCCCGGGGAGGAGACTAGCTAGTCAGGGTGCAGGGTAGCAACGATGAAACTTACATCTTTCCTCTAGTTCTTAAATGCCTCCTCCCTCCCCACTATCATGATCCCAAGTCTACCTTATAAATCCAGCTAGACCAGAGAATGTACACTGGTACAGATAGGAACTGGAAACACAGAGAATCCAGGACAGATGATCCCTTCAGGACCAGTGGTGAGAGTGGCGATACTGGGAGGGAGGAGGGAAGGTAGGGTAGAAAGGGGGAACTGATTACAGGGATCTACATATAACCTCCTCCTTGGGGGATGGACAACAGAAAAGTAGGTGATGGGAGGGAAACATCGGATAGTGTAAGACATGCGAAAATAATAATAATTTATAAAGTATCAAGGGTTCATGAGGGAGGAGGGAGTGGGGAGGGAGGGGGAAAATGAGCTGCTGATGCCAGGGGCTTAAGTAGAAAGCAAATGTTTTGAGAACGATGAGGGCAACAAATGTACAAATGTACTTGACATACAATAGATGTATTGTGTAGATTGTAATAAGAGTTGTATGAGCCCCCAATAAAATGATTTTTTTAAGTGTAAACAAAAGAGCCCAACTCACAAATTTGACTTACAATGTAAGTTTTACATTTTGTTTAATACTGAAAGACATTCTTGGAAAATGTGCTTAATTATAAACTATTAATCTAAGAATAAAGGTAGAATACTCGATACCATGCTCATAGTCAAGGTGTTATGATCTTTTAGGTATTAAACATAACTAATATTTTAAAATTATGTATCCTTGTAAAATTTTAATATGTAGTTGTTGCTTTATGTGTATTTTTAATTTACCTATATGGTATTTGGCTACAAATTTCTTCCTGTATCATACTTTTTCCCCTTTCAATAAAAAGCACCTATGTACATCTAGTTTACTGTTTCCTGTGTAGCCACACAGTCCATACGCAGTATACATTGTGGCATTATTTAAGATAGTGTGAAATAACTATTGCAGGTAGGGAATGGTTAAGTAAGCATTTTGTGTGAAATAACATCCCCTTATTACTAATGATAGCTCTGAATACCATAGGAAACAGGTTCACCACATTAAGTGGAAAAAGTGGCAAATCTGTCTTTACATTGAAAACAACCACATAGTCCTAACAGCCAAGGGCTGGAACGGATTAGAGTAAAATGAAAACAGCTATGCATGTCAAGAGCAAGGGAACTGTGGGTAATTTTCTCTTGTAACTTCTAGTAATGATTATGGTACCTATATGACAGCTTTCCCACAGTATAATCTTGAAGTAGATCAGCAGAACAAGGCAATACCACTCCACTACCTGCCTCAGAACTGTCAGCTGCTGCCCTCACAGTGAGTCAGCATTTGTCTCATTGTATTAGAAGTAGGATTCAAGGTAAATATTAGTTCAGAAGGCTGAGATAGGTCTAGCTCTCTGAATTTATCCATGTTTAAGACTAAGGTAATAAGAATATAACCTATTCTTCTTTGTGCAAATATAAGACATACATGAGTGAAGGCAATGAATGTACAAGTGAGCTTTACACAATTGATGTATGAATGGATTGTGATGAGTTGTATGAGTCCCTAATAAAATGATTTAAAAAATGAGCAGTAAGAGCCCCTAATAAAATGATTAAAAAAAAAAGACACACATGAGCTTGTAGATGCAAAACATTCTGGAAGAAGAGAAAAGAAACAGTTTACAGTATTATTCCTGACGAGAAGGGGTGGGGATCTGAAATAGAACAGAGACATATTTTACTTCACAGTAGGAAAAAGTATTTTTCTTTTCAACTCACATGCCAAGCACTCTTTTTAATTAAACATTGATTTAAAGTCTCAAACTAAAAATTTCATGACCCTAACATAAAAAAACCAACCAAACAACCAAACAAACCCCCCTTAAATTGTAACTCATTACTAAGTCTTCCCAAATAAATAAATTCCTACTTGAAGTTCCAAACGTGCATCCAGCTTAGGGTGCCTACCTATGGAGCCCTGTGATGTAATGGTTAAGCGTTGGGCTGCGATCTGCATGATCAGTAGTTCAAAGCCACCAGCAGCTTTGCAGAAGAAAAACTTTCTGTTCCCGTAAACAGTTAGTCTCAACCCCACAGGGGGTCACGGCGAGTTAGCATTGACTGGAAGGCAATGAGACTTAACCAGCAAACTGAGCAGTACACACAGGAGGCTGTCTATAGTCCTGTAAAGATTGAGCCTCAGCAAATTTAAGACTAGTTCTCTAAAAAAAAAAAAAGCCTAGTTCAAGACCATCCTATATGTAGTCATTATGAGTCGGACTCGACTGACTGACGATGGGTTTGGGGTTTGCTTTACGTGTTTTGGGAATCACCATGCACACACTATTCTAGCATTCATTGCAATGCAGAGTGCGGCTACAGACCAACTTACAAGTACTGAGACGTTACTCGGCCCGCCTGTGTCCCTCCCGGATTCAGACGTGCTGGCCCCTGTGCCAACCCTGCCGATTTGCGGGCAGCGGTCGTCCCCGGGACACCGCCCTCGGG